GGATCAGGAACAGAAGAGTTAAGTACAAGCCGATTTCGATTGCCTATAACTAGGAATTCAATTCCTCACGTTGCTGTGCTACCTTACGGATCAAACTTCTAGTCAATAACTCAATTACTGGTCCCCTAAGACAACAACCTACTTCGGCTTGTGTGTCCAGACAGTTTCTTGAACCTCAAACAAATTTTGAGAATATAACACTGCAATGAGGACTTCGAAATGCTTATCGGAGTAGCTCTTTACCACAGTTATCTAAAAGCATAAACTCAAATATCTACATAACTTGTATTATATTGCTGCTATATTTTTATTTTCATAAGGATTATGTTTTCTTGTTTTTGTCATTTTTACCGAAACCTTTTTAGTTATTTCACTATAATACTCTTCATTGTTTGACATAATAGTTTTTCTGTACTGTTTTTAGTCAATAAATAGTTGCTTCCACAAAGCTACCCCTCGGTGTGATGCCTGATTCAGCTGTTTGAAACCACGTCTACCGTTTAAGCTGACCACCGTAAACGTTTGTACCGTGTTGTAGAGCGGACATCCGACAGGTTTGGTTAGAATCATGGAAATCTTTGTCACCAATTTGTGTTGTATCTCATAGTCTTACTTACAAGATCCCAGCCAAACATTTCAGATAACTCCATTGGTGAGCTCGAAGTTTTTTTCGAGCACTTATCCAGGGGCTCTGTAGCATCAGTAGCCGGTATTCCTGATGTCAATATCCCACTGAGGGCTAGAGTCGAAGCTACACTAGCCGATTAAATCACCATTAACTGTTGTCTGTATACTGTTAGATTAGAAGATTCAGTTAGAGTAAAAATAACTGACAAAGGAAACAATATGTCTTTATCATCGCTGCATGTACTTCCACAGACTTAGTTAATTGATTAATCCTATTATCAGTGGAATAAGGTCACTCTTAAACCCATTTTTAAAAGCGCCCTATGTAGTGTGTGACAGTTGTCTGGGTGTTATTCTACGGGTGTAGCATACGCTTTGCAGTGAATGTGCAAAATCGGCAGGAGCTGTATACTTGCACTTACCTTCGTAGGTGAACCGTTCTAAGTAGTCAAAAGTTTGTGTATCTTAATAGTTCTGTGAGTTCTGGTGGAGATTTGACAAATAGGACTTTTAACCGTGTGTCGTAAGTCGTCGTGTTATACGCAATTCTTTATCAGGTTTGGTTTCGTCGCAATGTCAGTCTAACTATGAAAATGAGTATTTATAACGCTTCGATATACGAAGTCCTGTTATACACCTTTTGTCTTCGAATTGGTGCTGCTCAACGACTCTGTATGTTTGGTCACCGTTTTCTCTTAAGGATTACTGGTATCTGATTGAAACATCATGTAGATCATGCTGAAGTCAGGTGCTACTTGTTCGAATGTGATGGAGTTGGTTGTTGAGTAATGCCATCTTGGAACACCGCCTTTAGTAGCTTCAACCTGTTTTACGAATGTCTTCCGAGCAGCTTCCTTACCGTTCACTGTTCGTCTACGTTGAAATTGGTTAAGAAAAGTTGACACGTGTTCAGTGTATGACACCACGCTTTGGGTTTCAGGATAGTTGTATTGGATTAACATCTGTTTGTGCCTCACGACTTCCTGGTTGGGGTCCAAGGGGTCTTTTAACTTATTGGCTTGAGACGATAACAGACAGCTCGTAATTTGAACCAGTAGTGATCATACTGCAGCTTTTTTGTTTCTTCTACTATCAAAAAGTACGCCGAAAATAGTGAATACTCTTTTAAATATATCTTTTAAAAATGACTGTTTATTCGCTCTTTCTTTTCTTAACCTTTTTCGTTTTCGAATTCCTATTGTCCTATCACATCCTGTGCATTTCTAGTTGCCCATAGCGTACTAAGTATGTGTTTAAATATACTAATGATTTTCCGTGATATAGCAGTTCATTGTGAAATTCAGTTACTGGTTTGAGAAGGTTCATTCATCTTCGTTTCTATAGTATCGTTCCTACTGGGTTGCAGAAGGCGTAGGTCCAATGGCATGTTTTGGCATGTTATAGATCATACTTCAGTCAATAATTTCTTTCAAAAATATGATGGCTTAACTGTTTAGAGCAAGTATTATGTATTGTATTTCAATAGTTCTCTATACTGAGCGAGAGCTAGTTGTAAAAAGTGGAGTCAGTGTCGTTTAATAACATGGTATGATACATAATTGTTTTGGCTTCAAATTTATTGTTAAGTTTTAGCTACCTGGGTGTAGTTTTTAAATGGGGTCAGAGATAACAGATGAGCTAGTGCTTAAGTATGTAGCAAATCTCAACAGCGCAGAAAACGTAAGTGATATTAAATTTAACACCAAAGACTTTGTAGGAAAGAGAGAGCAAATAAATAAAAGATGAAGTGTTATAAGTCTTTCAAATAACAATAAACGAGTGTGTACGCTACTGTGGTAGACCTTAAGGGACATCACCAAGGGTTTCCAACTATTGGTTCGTAATCTTTTGAGAACCTCAGCGAGATTAACTAATGCAACCTAGATCATCATCCGCAAACCTCATTAATTGGTGCTGTCTCGACCTAGTTATATATATCTCCTTGTTAGTGTAATTGCTCTACATCTATCATTACGCATTCTTGTAAACGTTATCTAGGCATTCGTTGCAAGTTTTCTAACGACTTCATTAGATGAATGTTCAGAACTTTATTAACCGACTCACTGTTCTTATCCATTACTACTTATTCCATAGTTCCACTATATACGACAAGGGCTATGAAGGCACTTATGAATGAAAACCTGTAACACCTTCGTCAACTGTGTGTCAGTCATGTAGAACAAACTGCTGCACATTACACTCACCCATTGACAGGTATTACTTATTTCTTAGATGTTGTAGATGGTGTGGATTGTTATCTATCAAGCTTGTTCTTTGCAAGTGTTCAGACGCTTTAAGTAGGGGACGCATTAAAGCAGATACAAGTTCCTAACCGCTCCGTTTCATATCTTAAGAACTTGTGATAGCCACTTCAGTCTTACCATCTTATATTTGACGAATGAAAAGCGTATGATAAGTCAATTCCGAGTTTCTCGCAAGACATTAAGGTGACTGCATTTTATCGATAATTCTTTGCAATAAAACTCTATCATGAACATGCCGCGTAGGTCGACCAAATACTTTCCGGGTGGTAAGTCAATCCCTGAAAATTCGGGAGTAAGAAGAGTCGATTAAGTCAGTACATTTATGACAGTTCGTAAGAAATGGTGATAGTATTAGTATGTAGTGAGCGACGTAAATTATTGTTGCATCTGATAACAGTTTCCCGTCAGTTATGTTAGTTCAAGTGGAAGATTTTCGATAATATACTATAGCACTGGTTGGCTTCTTGCATTTCACTTTCAGGTCGATAAGCGTGACATATCAGACACCGATGAGTGTACTCACATTCTGTAGTCTGAAGAAGGATAAAAGCATGAAACTCAGTTGTTTTTTCCTGACTTTATGTTCCTCAGCTCCATTAGGGTCTTGAATAAATATAAATCGTAGATTCTTAGAATCTACATTGGTCAAACTTATTCTCTGACGGAAATCTCAAGAGGATTTCTTTTTTGGAATAAAGTTTATTGAATAAAGATCAGCACCACTTTGTTGGAATCTCAGCTGGCTCGTACGCCATCCGACATTTGAATTATTCCAACTTATCAGGTCTTCCTCTCTAGTCCCATTCCAGACTTAAAATAGTATTCTCAACCTCGATCACACATAAGAGTTTTGCATCTATTTCTCAATCAAATGAAGGTGGAATGGTAGGCATCTAGAGTGGATCCGTGGGTCACTCAAATTATTCAACAGAGTATCCTGCCTAATAAACTATCAGGTTATCACAATTCCATCTTTCTAAGTGGTAGTCTGACTAATCACAATCTTTTTCGAGTCACTTTCTATTTAAGAACCCTGAAAAGTGTTCTGTAGCCTAGTGCCATTACCTTTTCCTTGGATACTTTAGCAGTAAGGGTGACTCATTAGCTTAAACACTCGATTTTCAAATAGTGGCTCCTGTGTCTGAATCTTACTCCGTTTACTTCGGCCTGGACTACCGGGTAGTATCATAAACCTTCGCACAATAAGTCTGGCTCATAGTCTAGTACATAAACTTGTACCCGGTTAGTTTTCAGTATTCTTGTTAGATTCAGGTCTTCAAACACTTATCTGGTATTCAAGTAGTTTTTACATTGTTGGTGTAATCGGTTGGATTCAAGCATTTCCCTTTGAGAAAATAGTTGCGTTTGTTTTCTGCCGTATTCTAGACCAATACTCTACACAAGTCTGTAACAGTCTCAGAAGTAACTTTTATCTTATCTGAGATGGTGTTAACTCATTCACTGTAAAGTCTGAACTCTAATGTCTACAAATAAATTCTTGACTTATTTCCTGTCATTTTTTTTTACTGTTTCATATGTGAGCACATCTGTCATGCATTCGAACCGAAATACTGAGGCTACTTTCCCTGTTAAATAGTTGTTTATCTTTTGGGTTCTTGGCTTTCATACAATCAGATATTTTTTAATGTTAGTGAATGGTTACAACATTACTTTTATCTTTATGTTATCGATCGAATTGTTGAACTTCAGGTATCGGTTCCAATTCTAGGATATCCACCATCAGGAAACATATTCAAACTCATCTTATCGTCTTTAGGCTAATCAGGTAGGTAATTTACTTGGCTCTGCCAAACCGCAGTATAGCTTGGTCATGAACGCTGACTGGAATACATGGTACTTTTTAGTCTGTACACTTGACTTTTACGTAGTGTTTCATAGGTCCGAAACCTGACTTTCCTTAAATTTGGGTACCTAAGTAGCATAACATGCTCACACAAATGGGTAAAGCTCAATGTTTATAGTGTAAAAATCTGGAGATGGTTGGTGAGTTGAGTTTATTTTTGTAACTTGAATATATTCACTGTAATTTCTGTTCATACCCTTTAAACAATGCATATAGAAGATTCACCCTTTTTGTTCTTTTTATAGAAGAAATTTTGCAATAAATTTCATAAGTTATTAAAAGCATGACTTGGTTACCTGGCGATATCTGCATTTCTAAACATAAAAACGAACTTTATGATTTGTTCGTTGTTGAAGAAATCAATACAGAGAATTCATTGAATACAATTCGATCAAAGGACTACACAACAACGTGTCATTCTTCTAATATGCTACATATAACACCAACAAATATAAAGCTATTACATACAAATAATAATTTTACATCAACATTAAAGGTATGTGAAAGAGTTTTGTTTTATCTCTACACTTTTAGTCATTGGATGATTCTTATTTTGTTATGAAATTGAATCATTTAACAAGTCTTCCAATTTCACAGGTTTGTTTAAATAGTATAATAAATAAACTGAGAAAACTATTCAATACATTTAGGCTTCAATTGTTATAAATTCAGAAAGTGAAAATACTTCTCATTCATGGAATATTGGTGACTTGTGTATTTGTACATGGAGCGAAGATGAAGCCTATTACTATGCTACAATATTGACAACTGATTATGAAAATGATAAATTTACAGTATCATTTTGTTATTATGAAAATGTTGAACAGAAATCCTTCAAAGATCTATTTGATATTCATTCTGAATTCAAAGTATACTTAAAAGATGAATTCAATAAGTCAGCTGCATTTAAAAAAAAGGTATTATTGTTATTATTTGATATCTTATCTCTGTTTGTAAAGAAGTCAATATTCAATAGTCAATATGAACTTGAAAAATATAGTAATGAAAAGTAAGTATATGCTCATGTTATTCCTGGTATTTAAAATTGCCCATAACATACCATTCTTACTATTGTTATCATCATTTTTGTAAATTTTCCGACAATTTTTTTGATAATCCATAGTGTTTATCTTTAAATTAACGTTAACGGAGAAATTAAAATCAAGGATATTTCTGAGTGATATAAGGGGGGGGGGTTAGTTACTATTCACAGTTACCATCAGCTTTTTTCAATATGATGTAGATGATGAAATTATCACTCTATCGTTTCTTTTATCGTGGAACTATGTTAACCAGTAGTATGGCTATATGTATTCCATAGTGAGAACAAAACTACTCAGTAGGTTTAGTCATTTGAGTAGAGAGTCTTATTCTTTGATTACTGGGCTGTTGACTCACTTAATTACATTGCTTTTTTCCAGATGATATTTTTTGAAAGAAGAAATGAAATTGTAGTGTATGATTTGTTATCATATTCAGTATCACTAATTATTCCAACTTCTTTCAAATGGTCTTTATCCCCAGGTGTTAACTGATCATCAGGATATGTTGGGTTTTTAAGTGTATATTAGAGATACGATTTTTAAAAACATTTATTCGGAATGTAGACGTCATTTTAGTCTAAAGTCTATTTGTTATATGAAGTTAGACACTTCTTGTATTGTCTTATATTAAACAGTAGAACAGTTAATTTATTTATCAACTGCATTCAGTTTAATTTGTAATGGGTTTATTTACCTCTGGCTAATAGTTGTCAAAAAGTTAGGTTACTGACTAGTTTTTTCATCCTTTTTTTTACATATTCACTTGTTAAGTAGTAGTAGGTTACATGGCAGTTGTTTTTAGAAAAACTCAATAACATGCAGTTTTTCGTCGGCTTATGCCAATATATCCCTTTCTTTGTTTTGTTTCATAATATAAAGCTTTCTGCAAACAAATGGTACCGTGAATTATTGGTCACTGTTAATCATTGAGTTATTGATTTGAACCCTACTTCATCTACTTGAGGTTTGAACAGCCATTAGCTGTCATACAATCATTGTAACCCATCGTCTAGTATATGATCATCTATGTGTTTGCTAAGAAAGACTTCTACAAACGCTACAAGTAGTTACGTGTTATAACTTTTTCTAAAGCTTTAGTGAATCACCATACTGTTAGGAACCATCGGGGATCTAATAGCACTTCCGTGTATGTGTAATTAATATTATTCTCATGCATATTGATATTGTAAGTTATGATTTAGAGGTTTTGTGAATAATTTTTGTGTTCTATCTTAGTCATCAAAATAAGTTTAAGCATCCGAATTGGGGTCATCAAGGGTTTAGGGATGAGACTAAAAGTTATCCCCAAGTGTTATAGCATTCTACCTAAAAATGTATATTTTCTCTGTTATGTATACATATATTCTGAAGCGAAAATTGCACTCATAAGTCCTTTTGGGTGTAATTTGAAGCTTCAGCTAATTCACTGTGATCTGGAGCATCATTCATCTTGAATGACTGTGCTTACTTTCCACCTAAGAAGTGGGAATGCAACTAACATTTTTCACTTCTGTTCATCCACTCATGTCTGATTTTCTAGCATATCCTAGTGTATTTTTAATTTGATTGATTTTTTCCGTTTTCTAGTTCTTAACTAACACTGTTGTATTCGTTTTAATCACCTTAAGTTTTCGTTGTGCTGTATGCGATGGAGAGAAAAAAGATTCATACACTATTAGATTACTTCACTGTTTCTGTTTATCTATTAAATCCTAACTGAAATATTTTCGGTGTTACAACTTAAGTTTACGAAATTGAACCTCGAACCTGTAAATCCTTCAGTCTCTTAGCAGTCATTCACCGAATCGATGTTGAATGTTTCACACTTCCGACAGCAGTCAACTTACAATGTATTATAACTATTACCCACTGTTTTTGATTAGCATTGTAGTGGACCCAAAGAATGTCATTAAACCAAAATAACAAACTACGTATAATTTACAAGGAAAATGGATTTTATGATACACATATATGAAAAGTTATACGTTATAACATAAATAGTATTGTCAATGTTATAGATAATCACTGGTTACTGGAGGTTATCTCTTCGGTATTGTCCACCACAATTTTAGGATACTCCAGAGAGATCAGAAGGCGATATTTGTTATCTCTCCGCTGTGATCGTCGGTGGGCTTGATTGTCGTAACATTTGGAAGTAGATGAGAAGTCCTGTAAATTCCCAAGACAATCAGTTATTATGCACGACAGGCAATAGTCACGGAGGTAGAAGTCGGAATGGTTAAAAGCACATTATATTTCCACGATTAGCAGCAGCAAAAGATGCAATTACCGCCACAACCAAAAACGTGTATATATAAACAACATTCGTTTTTACGAGTATTAGGAAGAATGTACAGAATGTGTAAAAGAAACGATAAAAGGAAATATTGCTTTTAATTGAAGTGGTTTATACACAATTTTATGCAGTCTCCCTCCATAGCGTCCATCTTCAGTTTTTTTTTTTGATCGAAACTTCAGGAAATCCATTTAAAATGACTTACTGATTCATATCCATTTTAGTGGTTTTCAAGGAACTGACTTACCAAAATTCAGTATTCACTCAATTATTGTTTACTTTGACCTAGTAGGACTCCTAAAGAATTTCTTATGAATAGGCTGTAGGTCTTTTGAGTTCACAATAATTTATCATACTGAACTAAAGATTATTTTGTAAAATGAGCCATATTTTTATTACTATCTAACAGTTTTATAGAATTGACATTTCTGTATAGGCAAATTTACTACCTTCTTTTGGGTCATTTTTATTCTCAGTGGAATACATGAATTCTCTCTTCAAAATGACGAACTGGAAGGAGTAAATGAAATTTCTTCCCATTTCAACCAAATCTCACTTGAATACCCTATTTCTCATAATAACAAACTTTTTGAATCTTCTTCGAATAAAAATAACTCGGAGTTTATACATCAACTGAATCAATCAAGTAAACATTTATTATTAAATACTTCGAATATTCAAGAGAATCTTGATGATATACAATTGCAGCCATTATTATTGAGTTGGTTTATGTGTGGTTATCAAACTGGTTCTATGAAGTGAGTGGATAAGTTGAATTAAATAAACATTTTACTTCAACAAAATGCAAATTATTGTTATGTATCAGAAATGCATGACAATGTTTTTTTGTTTTTGTTTTATGCCTGTCTCAAAATGAAAAAAAGTCTTTCTTTAACATCCTTTCGATAAAAGAAGTTTCTGTAAAAATCTTTCTATGTCACATAATTTGGTTTCATACCTGTTGACATACAACTTTATTCTAAATGAAGTAATTTTCTCACTTTCTCCTCCTCTTCTTTTTTTTACAACATTGGCAAATATTAGTATATTGAATAGAATAATATTTAAGTAAATATAATATTGAATATAATTTCTGACAGAAAAAGAGAAAACAATAACAAAACTTTATGTATAACACTGTACTATTATCAAACTGTACAATCTAGATTAGAACCGTATTGAACTCCAACTGGATATTTATAGTGTTCAGATAATTGTGTTATTTAAGCCGTTCATTTTAAAAAACTTTCTTCGCCACTCATTTGTAAAGGGGGCTATGCAGTTAATAATAATAATCACTTTATTCCAAACAACATGTATGATACAGCATGGAATATTTCAGCAAAATCGCTTTCCGCATAATATTTTTAAAAGAAATAATTATTACTTTAGTGTTATTGCTTGTATGACACCGTCGTTAATTGGGCCGAATTGATCAGTCTCTGTTGGTATATGGACTCTTGTACGGATGCCTCGATATTGCCTGCGTTTTAATTATATATGGTAATGATAGGCAGTGGCTAGCGGTGGAATTCAGGATGCGCATTTATCCTATTTGGGACTCGTCAGCTGGATGTACCTGCCTTCCGTCGCACAAGAAGTGGATATCGTGGCTCGGTGGTGTAGTGGATAATGTCTTGGCGTTTGAACCGATCGCTCCCAATCCGAATCCCGGTGGGAACCACATCACTCACTGGGAGGCAGATACATCCAGCTGACGAGTCCCAAATAGGACGAGATGCGCATCCTGGATTCCACTGCTAGCCACTGCCCATCATTACTATAAAATAATTATTACGTCTGTATAGTATCCATAACAGTATTCAAAGCATAATTGTGAAACACTAGCATGTGTTTTCGATTAGGAAATTACCACAAAATCGAGTGTTATATACATGGTGGCATTTCAGTCAACCAGTACAGAAATTAACAATCCCATACATCTATCCTAGGAATAGGAATGTTGTGTATTTTTGAGCATTTACAAATCCATTTCCACTTGATGAAACGTTTTTCTTTTGTTTTGTTCTTATCTTGAGAAACAAAAGTTCGAAAACATTTAAAAAATGTGCGAGAGTACATGATATGTTCAAAAGACATTTAAAGGATTAAAACAAACTGAAAGGGAAGAATTTAATAGAATATAATTGTTGGAAAGTCTTTTGGTAGCCGAAGATTTAAGCAGATCACCTTACAGGCTGTAGGACTGCATTCAATCCCCAAAATTACTGACGTAGCCTTTGTAATTAGCAAACATTTCGGTTATAACCTTTCCTAATATCATTTTGGTTTTTTTGAGCAATTTGTAAAAGTAAGTTACTAATTATTTGCCAAATGGATAGTTCATTTCATCATTTCTAATAGCTGAATGGGTTTTAATTTCCTGAACAGTTATTTATTGATAGGTTAGTATTTGGAATCCATTCAGGTAGTGGCATATATACCATCTTCCCTACACACATCTGCTGTAAATTAATCGGTGATATGAGTTTTAAGACATTATTATATCTTTCATAAAGGACCAATTTCGTCAACCATGTATCCCGATAGGTTGAACTCAGAAAGTCAAAATATTCTGACAATCAAAATATGATAGATTGATGTGGGCAGATTGATGGTGTCAAGAAATGTTTGAACATTCTACGAGTCATTCACAAGATATGATCTGTTTATTTCCACAATGCAAACTACAATATTACTGTTATACCACATCGTCTAAGTTAATCGGTTGAAGTCAGGTTGTCTTGATGCTTTATGTGTTCTCCATCGTTTCCTAACCATAAAATTTTCTCTACAACAACATTCATATCACAAAAACAAGGAAATGTTTTTTGTGTATATATGATGAGTGTCAATGTAGTGAAAGTAATTATGCTAAATATTTACAGAAATTGCCTTCAGTTTCTCCCGTAATTTGTATTTAGTTTATGGTAACTGCTTGCTTAATTAGTTATAGTATAGTTGTTTTTTTAAATATGATACCCTTGATTGGACCGAATTGATCGGTCTCTATTGGCATATGGGCTCCTGTGCGGATGCCTCGATATTGCCTGCGTTCTAATTATGTTAATGATGGATCATGGCTAGTAGTGGAATCCAGGATGCATATTTCGTCCTATTTGGGACTCGTCAGCTGGATGTACTTGCTTCCCAGTGAGTGATGTCCCCATCGGGATTCGGACTCGGGAGCGATCGCTTCAAACGCCAAGGCATTATCCACTGCACCACCGAGCCACGATATCCACTTCTTGTGCAGCGGGCATAGTTTTAGTGTAATTGTTTTTATATGATACCGTTGTTAATTGGACCGAATTGATCGGTCTGTATTGGTGTATGGGCTCCTTTGCGGATGCCTCGATATTGCCTGCATTAGTCAGATACATCTAGCTGACGAGTCCCAAATAGGACGAAATGCGCATACTGGATTCCACTGCTAGCCACCATCCATCATTAACTTAATTAGTTATAGTTCAGTATACTTTTGAATTTATAGTTTGTAAATATCTTACTCTTTTCATTTAACTCAACTCATATAACAGCCGAAATGTATGTATTACAGTATTATGATATGAAGTCATTCGCACTTGGTATGTCCATTTAATTGTATTTTATTTTCAGGTCATTTTTTTACTGGTTTCAACTTTTTTTTTCGCTATTGTAGTGCTTAAGTTTGCAAGTCATGCTTACTTGTTGAACAAGTACTGACTGCAGCTTGTTATTTTAGATCTTATTATATCCGAAACGTTAGTCAGGTAGCACTAAAACATTGTACAATTATTTTTCTGTTATAAGCATTTACAGTGCTATGGAGAGAGATATACAGAGATATAAGGTTGCACTACTGATGATAATGATAGCAATATGTTTGTTTGTCCTGGATGATTATCTTTTTCAGTGGTACCACATCTTCATAATGAAATGAAAGTCGAAAAATAATGTGTGGAAGTGTTACATTCTCCTTACCTCTATGAGTATAAGATTTCTCGAAATACAAATTTGTCTGTGTTAAAATATATAGGGTAACAGTAGTAAGCGAATATCCTCTAAACTCTGCATTCACAGTACGAGGTGGTACATATTGTTGATAATTTTGGAGGATCTATTATTTCTGCGTCTTTACAAGTAAAAAACAAGCATTCCTGTATGCTAGGTAACGGATAGTGTGAACGATTGAGAGAAATAGAATGAATCTTTCATTGCGTTTATGAGAGCAGACATTGAGATATAAATGACGATGGTAAAAAGTACTATAGAATGTGTAACAAGTAGAAATTCCACTGTAGCATACAGAAACCTAACGTTAGACGTCAATCTTTATATTTTATAAAGTCGTGATATGCTCATGTCTGTTAATGTACCACAAACATTTCAGCTGGAGAAACTAGATATAACTATTGTGATAGTGATTCGTGTTATTATTATCATTATTATTGTTTATCATTTGTCCCTTGAGTTCCTAGTGGAACATAGGGCTTCAGTAGCACGTCTCCATTCCGCTCTGTTCTCTGCAGTCTTTTGAACCTGGCACCACGACTGCCCAGAAGCTCTCATTTCTTACTTACACCATCTACATGTCACCCTCACCTCAGACAGCCAACTCGCCTTTTCCCAACTGGGTTCCACTCTATGGCCTGGCCTGGTGCATGATGTCCCCATTCGGCCTTCTTAGTGTATGCCCAATCCATCTCCACTTCCTTCTGCATATTTGTTGAGTGATAGGTTCTTGGTTGGTTCGTTGCCAGCCAGAGTTCCTTGTTGCTTATTCTCATTATTCTGGCAATTCATCTGAGCTTCAGTAACGAGCCAGTGTAGATGGCAGTTGTTGATGAATATCTGAAGTTTTTTGAAAATCCCTTTCGTAGCGTGCCAAGTCTCTGACCATCACATAGAAGCACTGACTTGACATTGGTGTTGCAAATCCGGATCTTGTTCACACTTTATGCTGAGTGTAGTAGATCTCCACATTGGTTTCATGTTAATAAACGCCTGTTTTGCTTTTCCGATCCTGGCTGCTTTGACGTCCTCGTCTGTGCCTGTACCGCCTGTAGTTGAAACAGTGCTACCTAGATAGGTGAACAACGGGTATTGGTTGCTACTATTTATTGATACACTTGTAATAGTGATCGAACAATTCGATCCAATAAAACAACGGAGAATTACAAGTTATCAATAAATAGTGGTTTTTTTTTAGATAAATAAAGGTGACAAACTGTGATGAGTATGTTCAATAATCTCAAGAATTACATGGAAAGAAGAGAAGTGAATGATTTTTTATTTATTATTTATTTTCTTGTTATCAGTTAAGGCTTGTTTTTTAAAAATTAGATATACTGGATTAATTTCGTTTGTCATTCCTTTTTATTTTATATCATTATCATAAGTATTCCTGTTAGGACTAGTATAACGAATCCCAATAATTACAATTATTTTATTGTGTAGTATTACTCGCCTTAAGACTTATTCATTAAAGTTTCATTGAATGGAAATTGTTTTTCTATTGAGATGATCATAATAACCTACTTTAATTCTTTCCGATGAAGTTTTGAGTGGCGGTATAATTGAATACACTCATAAATGAAATCTATGCATGTCTTCATTTCATTTAGTCTAACTTGATAAGCAAAGAAATATATTTTTTCCATTTGATGATTTTTTGAGATTTATTCATTTCAGGTTAGTACTTTTCAGTTGACTTCATCATCATCAGCTCCATGCTAATATAGGTTTCTTAAATCAATATCAATGTACAAAATTCAATATGGAGATGACAGTTTTAATTAATTTTGGAATATTAAGAGAGTGATAATTGCTCACAGAAATTAAGTTTTGCAAATGAAAAAACAAACTCATTGTACATAATAAAACTATGAAAGTTACAGGGGGTTGATAAGTTGCGTAATTACTTAAATGTTGGCTTGAGCCACTTAGGCCGATGCCAGTTGGGGTCCGCAGGACAAGAGAAACTAGTGGTTGGAGACTCTAGGTGATATGGGTGCAGATGTATACAGATATTATTCTCATCTTAACCACTATACTTGATCTCATCTCATTCTTCCTTCCTTTCCTTTGCAACTTTCTACTTCCTTTGACCGATTTTTCTTTCTTTCTTCGTCTTTCATTGTACTGTTTTGTTACTTGATGTGCTGATTATGAGGCGCGGCAACTTGGACCGTTACACAGTAATGCTTAGTCCTGTGTTGATCATGATGATGTAATAACGATAATGAATTAGAAGGATGAATAATGATGGCATGTATTCATTTGTTGACGCTAACTGCAAAAAAATAAGATGAATAGAGGGAGAGTCATATATTTCCACTGTTTGTTGTTTTCTGAATATATATATATATAATCTTAGTTTCTGAAACAACTTGAGTCTATGCAATCTTTTCGTTTATTTGCCACTATTGCTTGACTTAGAACGAGGTTGGTCCCTAGAGACAAAGCATTTCAAATGCTCCTGTTACACATCGATAAGACTTAGAATCATTGTCCCCGTACGGTAGTAATTACTGAATGTGTATTGATTTATTCTCTGACACTTATCCATAGGTTTTGTATTTAACTCTCCAGTTTACTCCAGTTCAATCGAATTTGTAGAATGATAAAATCTGACCTTGAAATTTGATATAATCTAAATGGTGAAAACACTGTCAGGAAATATAAATTAACAATAAACATCTAAAGTATTTACTAAGTTAGGTTTTACATTCTATCGAAATACCACTAAGGCTAAGTAGCCTTCCAGCTTTTTACTAGCTTAATACTTTCATTTTTCAATAGCTGTGTTAGAACTCCTAACATCTGGCATCAAAGTGTAGTTCGACACCATTTAATTTAACGGACACACTTCAAACTTTATCGATTGATTTCTATTAGTGCTGAGTACTAAAAAGTAAATAGCTACGTCGATTATCATCTAGGTACCAATGATATATAAGTGATGTGACGAATCACTGATTTCATAGATTACGACCACCTTATCTTCAATTGTTTAAAAAAGTTGAGTCATTCGCTAAGTGATTTCATATATATATATATATATATATATATATATATATATATATATATATATATATATATATATATCTTTAGGAAGCCAGTTAACCAATAAAATATCATTGTACTAAAGTTTTCCTATTAACGATGGATCGTGGCTAGCAGTGGAATCCAGGATGCGCATTTCGTCCTATTTGGGACCCACTGGTCAGCTGGATGTACCTGCCTCCCAGCGAGTGATGTGGTTCCCACCGGGATTCGGATTCGGGAGCGATCGCTTCAAACGCCAAGGCGTTATCCACTACACCACCGATCAATTTGGTCCAAGCAACGACTGCATAATATGAAAACAATTATACTAAAGTCTTACTGTTTAGTGCCAACTCCTTTATAAGTATGTTGAATATTTGATGCAGGGGGAATAGACAATGATTTCTTATGCAGTGGTATAGGTGTTTGATCGTAGGGGATCATCCTACAAATTCCGTGATAAATCTATCACTTTTTCTTAATAATATTCCACCAAGTTGACTGGAAATGTTTCTGTCAGAAATTCATCATCTATAGGAATTCACATAACAGTTAAATTGCTGTCTGCCAAAACCCATAACTCATATTAAAACGTATCTTGGGTATTTAGTATTTTACCGAATGTAATATGCAGAATCAATGGCTGTCGAAAGCTGTCATGGCTGATATAAGCAATAGATTTTTAACTTCCAGTTAATTGTCTCACTCATGAGTTGTTCTTATAGAAAGACTGAATGAAAACTGGCTTGTGTTATCTAGTATTGTTGATGATTAAGATGACTTCATCTGTTACCTGGACTCGAAATTTTACCATAATGCAATATGACTACTGTATAATCCAGGAAATCTGTTTGCCTAATTTGTTATATATTACTGATTACTTTTCAAAACTTAGCAGACATTACTTTGTTTAAATTTTTTTTCAAACAGATATCCACTATGCATCCTAAAAACAAGAAGGAATAGTCACATTGAAAGGTGATTGAGACATTATGTTGTATTCATGTATCTAATCTCTAGGTAATAAATTTTTATTCGTAAACTTTTTTTGTAAAGTTTTTCAAAATTTTTAACATAATTATAAAACCTGTGAATAAAATCAACTTCATAATGGCATGATGCAGTGTTCTAAGCTAATAATTAACTCTGTCAAAGTAGTAATACTAAATAAATGGTTCGTTACCATTTAAATATTTCTCCTTATTTTGCTTAAAATTCTGATCGTTCTGATCCTTAATAAACAGTGACGAATTCGGATCATAGCTACGATGGCTAAGACAGACAAAATCACCATGGGACGTGGCACGCAATTGGATTGGTGTTCAAGTTACTACACTATACAATAGTATACAAAGAGCAAGTGGATGGGGAAAGATTGATATCAAAGTAAACAAATGTGTATAAGAGGAAAAACAGATTGTAGATAAACGTTAGCGCATAAATTCAATCTTTGGCAGACGCCAAAGAGTGGAAACATTTGCCCCATTGTGACTTATCTTCAGTCATATCACTAAACGTTCCCAACCATTGATTCTTATAGTCTTGGAGACTACAACAAGGTAGTTTATACCTCCCTACACCACTCAGACCGAGCATCAGAAATTTCATGGACTGGTACCAAGTCTTAGTTTGGTCACACTGACCCTTCTTCCAACCTAACCCAACTCCTAACATTCCACGTCGAGGTAGGTGGTGGCTCGGTATGTGCCACATGTGTCCAAGCCGCCTCAGTTGCTGAAGGTTATAACCTCATCGACCGACTTTCCCTCCTTGCCTAGTATCTTTGGCCTAGCACCTACATTGCTTACATGGTGCTTCCACCATACTCAAGCAATGCCACGAAGATACATATGGTCAAAATCTGTAATCCTCTCATATCTTCTGATTTAACGGCCACATCTCGTAGACATATAACAGGACGGAACGCACTGAAGATTAGTATGACTCATCGTTTAACAGGTAGTCAGATGTCTTGCCAGCCGGCACCAGAAGTGATCCAAGTTGGCAAATGTCAAACGGGGCTTCTGTATCCGATCTGAGATTTCGTCAATAGCCAACCTGTTCGAGCTGATGTAACTCCTCAAGTAAGTGAAGTGGTCGATGCATTCAGCCACCTCACTCTTTATACTTAAACAAAGAGTATTTACAGAACAGTCCTTGAGCATTATCTTACATCTGACAGGCCTGAAACATACCAAAACTTGCGTAAATATTTCGTCTACACGTTCAGAGGACAACATTTTATCAGCTGACGAAATATACCCATTCATTCATGAATAAGAAGTATTTCTTTTCAACGACTCCATTACCAAGCTGTACAGCAGTCGTATTTAAACTCGGTAAAGTGACAGATAATTGTACTAAAAAGTTGCTCAGTCAATATACAAAATATACAATTGGTGTAGGTGGTGGTATTTGTTCAAGTGGAAGAGATAGAAAATGGGTCATTGAAAAAGGAACGAATTGATAACAAGTGGTGAGATAAGCGACAAGTGTTGTCAAAGAATTGTAAACCAGTGATAATTAAGCTGAAACGTGTAAAATAGGTCAATGGATATGGAATGAATTGATATTAAAAAGTGAAATATGGGTCAAATGTTGTCAATGAAGTGAAAAATTGGTGATAATGATGATGAGAGAGAGAAAAGAGAAGTATACCAAAGTGAAATGAAATTGATAAAATAACCAAGATGAATTGTTAAGGCCAAGGTAGAGAAAGTGGTTTCTCAAAACGTTTTTGAATGCAAAGTTTCGGTTTTTGTCCATGTATAGCTAGTGCTTCAGCTATGCATAAGTGGTGGAGTAGTTCAATTTAACTATGCAAATTATTTTAAAGGGTGAATCTCGAGGTGCTAAGTCATCCAATTCAACAAGGTGTTCACATATAGATGAAGTCGTTTTCCTTTGCTCGCCTCTGGTAAGCCAAACCGGGTGGTGTCCAGTAACACGTTTTCGGAGGGCCCGCTTACAACGCCCAATATAGTCAGCTCCACAGGAGCATGTGAACTTGTAGATACACATAGATGTGGACATAAGTGGAAGCCTATCCTTCACGCATTGACGAATCAGACGGCGGCTGGGGAATATCAGTCTTAGTCCAGCAGCATAGAAGCTACTATTGATACATCTTGACGGACAATTTCTCAGCACTTCGGCTGTGGTGTCTCCTTTGAATTCTAGATTCATGGTTAAAATTTTCTTAGGGACTGTAATGGGATGGGGGAATGGTTCGTTTCTTCAGATTTTTATCAATAAATCTTTTAGGGCATCAGTTATCAGATAGTATTATTCTAAGGGTTTCGATCTCAGCATCCACCGTATCTTCTGAACATATTTTATAGATTCTGGAACACAGTGAGTGAATGAGATTTCTCTTACAACTAAGAAGTACCCAACTATTAAAGTTAGTGAACTGTCCGATCCAGGTTAGTTTTCGATAAACTGACCTTTGAATCGAGCCATCATCCCTTCTCTTTAACGTCACGTCTAGAAAGTGGAACGTTGAGTTTAACTCTTTCTCTACAGTGAATTTAATGGATGGATGACAATCATTGAAACGTTTTAGCAGCTCGTCCGCTGAACATATTTCGTCGCAAATAAGAAAAGTATCGTTGATGTACCTTTTATACAAATAAAGTTCGGAAATTATTTGTTTAAGGGGCGCGTTTTCTAGCTTGCCATAAAGATATCAGCCAGGACAGGGCCTAGTGCGGACCCCATTGCAACTCCGTCCGTCTGATTATAACATTGAATCTAAGCTGTACGTTAAACGTACATCTTAATATTAGTTCTTTTAGGCGGCTAGTAGGTAATCCAATGTTAATATTATTAGAATCAATGTAATCACATAGATAAACGATTTCAACAAGTGGAACATTGGTAAATAAAGAACAAACATCAAGCGATATCATACGCTCACCCGTTACGTTGATTTCTGCGATGCAGCGAGCAAAACAAAATGTATCGGGAAGACTATATTTGCATAGATTTGATCCCACCGGTTCAAGGATTTTTGCAAGCCACTTTGCCAATGAGTGACAAGGTGAATTAAGCATATCCAGTACTGGACGAAGAGGAAGACCATCTTTATGCACCTTCGGCAGACCATATAAACGGGGCATGTTTGAACCAAATGGTCTAAGCTGCTCATAAGTATCTGGGGTAAATAGAGATTCTTCCTTCGATTTTCTTAAGATTTTCGATATTTGATCCTCAGTACCTTCTGTTCTATCCTTCTGATCTCTGGATTTTAGAAATTTATTATCCTCGCTGAGAATTAGGCATAGTTTGTCAATATAATCTGACCAATCCAATACCAGATCCTTTGTCTGGGCATACAAGTATAACATCCCCGTTGTTTAGTAGTTCCTTCAATTGTTCTTTGTGCTCTTTGGATACAATACCTCGTTGTCGACATGGTGTTTTCAGATAATGATAACAGCAATGTAATAATGTGGATTTGAAACACTCGAAGCTTTCAATGAACTTCAGGATTAAGTCTCGAGTCTGGCTGATCAGGTTTTCGAATTGCACTTTTGCATCAGGTTCACTGGTTTTAGATGAAGCATAACAAAACTTTAGTCACAAAAACAATCTGTAACTGAATGTCTGACAGGGTTATACTGGAGTGGTTAAACACCTATCTCTCTGGTGCATCTAGAAAATTGTCGTATGACTTAATGATCATATATGGTCAAACTGTTCAACATGTACAGTGTTAATGCATCAAATGTTTCGGATGTTCTTTATCTTTTCATTACACCCTGTTTGTCAAGAGGAATAAGTGGTTTAAGTGTCAGTTATTAATAAATCTTCTGACTTCTCTGTGAACTTATGTTATCTTTTCCAAATTTATCGCTAGAATCCGTATTGTTGTCTATAGCATCTTTCCGGTCAGCATGCATCTTTCATGTTTCAAATTTTATTGTCTAATCTGGTCTTCACAGACATACTCGATCTGCTTTTGTTGGGAAATTCTACCTATTCTAGAATTTCGCACTGTTATATTTACTCGGTTTTTGTTTTGTCTCAGATAGTACGTTTAAAAGAACCTAATTTTGGCTGTGCATTGCTTAAGCAAAGTTGTTCTGTCATCTCTCTGTAAATCTTAATGTGAATCAATAGTATTGTGGATATGAATGCGTCATTTATAACTTTTTTTTATCTCAGGGATACTTTCCTGCGGATCGTTTAAAAAACCTTATCGTTATGCAGAACAAGTGCAGTCGTTTACCTTGTTTTAACTGTAATTTTTTCTGACCTTTATGGTAAATTCGAGCCGGACAACATGAAACTTGGTATTAGAGGATTGGATCTTCTCACAGAGCCTTCTGTGTTCTTCTTCGTAACTTTTTTACCCAACCGGACTGCAGTACACTAATAACTAATGATGATTAGATACTTCACTTACGGTAGTCAATAGTTGCGGATGGGCGGGGGAAATTTTTCCACTGGATACTCTGTAGTATTATTAAAACGAAGCTACTGCTTAAACGAATTTTTTGCCGTTCCTAGTGTCTGTTGATTACAGATATGTGGAAGATAAATCACATTGACTGGTAACTAACTTCGTGTTGCCTAGTGCTGGGTGCCGATCGGGTCACTCGCTAAAAATAAAATCGGTAATGGACATATCACTTGCGATGAACAAGGCACTAATGGTGGTATGTGAGTTCTCGATGAAAAACCGACATAGGGACAAGATCTTAGATGCGCATGTGTGAGGGTGTTTATATATATATATATATATATATATATATATATATATATATATATATATATATATATATACAAACACTAACCTCACAAAATGCGCATCTAAGATCTTGTCACCATGTCAGTTTTTTTCATCAAGAACTCACATACCACCATCAGATGATAGCATTGACATTTCGAATCCAATATCCCCCCACCCTACAGGATGATGCTTAGATTGTATACTTGTTACCCGTAAAACACTATGCAGTCGAACTAGATCGATAACTCAGTATGATCTTGCCCCATAACCAACATGAACGCGCATCTGACACCACAGTTAAAACGCTGCGACAACAATTTGGAGATCACTTCTTGTCAGTGGAGCCTTGGCACCACACTGTGGATGTAATTATTACGGAGCCACAGGACACTAGTAATGAACACCGCAGTCAGAAACAACAACGAAAAACAACTCTTGCACCTGGAACCACCATTC